GGGCTGTGCACTGAGGGGGTCATCGGGGTGAAGCACGGAGATACATGAAAAATGAAAAGTGAAAGATGAAAAATCGGTCACACCTCTCCTTCGTTGCTCCTTGGCTTCTAGCCCTGGGTCACTGCTTCTGCTTTGCTGTGGCCCCGCCCTCTAGCCTGAGGACTTCTGCCTGCCAGCTGCAGCAACTGGGTCGATTTAGAAATCTCGGTATTTTGCTTTCCCCTGCAGATTTCTTCTCAGTGAGCGCAGGGAACTGGCACCCAGAACCTTAAACAAGATCCAAAGCTCTGCAGTTTCTCTGCGGACTGCTCTTTCTCTGCTTTTTTTTTTTTTTTTGGCTTTTGGCAGAGGAGTTTTCACTGTCTGTCTCTTCTTTCCCCGCCCCCAAACTGGACATGCCTCAGTATCATCAGTTTTTAATAATACAGTAGCTCTTGAAATGAATGAATATTGATCGATTCTTTCTGGTAGGGTGACTATGTGTATTCCTTCCACCTTCCTTTGATGCTTCCTGTGTCATTCAATATTTTGCCCATGGTGTTGGTGTTGTTAGGTGCCATTGAGGCGGTACCAACTCATAGCGACCCTATGCCCAACAGAATGAAACACCTCCCAGTCCTGAGCTAACCTCACAATTGCCATGCTGAGTGCATTGATGCTGTCATTTTGCCAATCCATCTCGCTAGGGGTCTTCTTTTTCATTGACCCTCCACCTTACCAAACATGATACCCTTCTCCAGTGACTGGTCCCTCCTGACAATATGTCCAAAGTATGAGAGATGACGTATGGCCATCCTAGCCTCCAAGAAGCACTCTGGCTGCACTTCTTCCTACACAGATGTTTGTTCTTTTACCAGCCCCATGGTACTTTCAATATTCTCCTCCAACACCATAACTTAAATGCATCAATTCTTCTATAATCTTCCTTATTCGCTGTCCAACTTTGGCGTACATATAAGGTTACTGAAAATATCATGGCTTGGGTCAGACGTACTTTAGTCCTCAAGCTGACATCTTTGCTCTTCACTTTAAAAGGTCTTGTTGGGAGAACAATTAGACAGGTCTCAATGGGCTAAGTGAGACAGAGGTAAATAATGATATATGCACAACCTGGGAATAACAGGGTTCTGGGATACAGAGATTGAGCCATG